CCATTTTAACCATGTTTTAAGTTTCTTGTTATGAAAAGATGGCTATGTATATTAAAGAAAGAATGACAAAATATAAGCCCCGCCCACCCACCCTGTCTCAATTCTGATGATTTTTTTTTATTCGTCGTGAGCCAAGGGTACGGAGCTCAACTGCAAAATCTTTATTTCTCTACGAGAAATTACAAACATGTTTCTGAGAATCGTGTTGTTTAAAGAATACTGTGTATATTAAGAAAAAAAATAATAAAGTCGAAGATTACGCCCCACCCATGCCCGCCCCAATCTTTATTCTCAATTGAGATTGATTTTTCATTCGTGGTCAGATCGAGAGGCGGGGCGGGGCTTAATTGCAAGATCCATGTTTGTCTGTAAGAATTTACCATTTTAAACATGTTTTAGTTTCTTGTTCTGAAAAGACGACTACGTATATCATGAAAAAGGCCAAAATATTAATCCCGCCCACCCGCCCTGTCTCAATTGTGATTATTATTTTTTTAATCGTCGAGAGCCAAAAAGTCGAGAGGAAAAAGAGAAGTTGTTAGGTTTGAAAAACAGCCAGTGGGGGTGTTTTCCAGGGAAACGGGGAAAACAAGGATATGAAAACTGACATTACAAAATACAAGATTATTTATAACTTCAAAGATAATAAAAGATTTTAAGTTCTATTCGAATTACCTTAACCACCTCAACACCCATAATGAAGTCTTGGAAAAACCCGTTGGCATTACTAGAAATGGTCGCTACTTATTTACCTGCATACTTCCAATAACCAACTGTATTAAAATTAACATTTTCACCAATTACCACGAAAAATGCAGCAACAATTTTAAAATATGCACAAAATGCACTTAACATTAAAATATGCAATAAATGCAAAAAAATAGTTAAATATGCAAAATATGCAAAAATTTCAGCAATAAGTTTATTTGTTGACATACCAAGAATATCAAGTTCTGTTATTATAGCATCTATTTTTCATATTTTAAAACTTAGCATTTCTGATTAAACCTTCTGTTTACAAGTAAAAATCGCTTTCATTATAATAATAATAACAACAAGGAGATTAAAAAAAAACGTGTGATTAAAATATTACGACGCACACTAAAAGCTGTAAACTTAAATCTCCCTAATAGAATGTCGTGAGGATAATATGCATCATCTTCCATGAAGGCGAAAAATTTGGAAAATCTTCTCTGAACAGCCTCCAGATTGACTCCGTGAACTTCGTAAATTGGCGACCATATAATAACACCATATTCCAGTCCAGATTTGATTCTCATAGAGAAATAAGGATTTTGCAGTTAAGCTCCGTCCTCTTGGCTTACGACGAATTAAAAAATCATTAGAATTGAGACAGCGTGGGTGGGTGGGGCCTATATTTTGCTTTTTTTTTACAAATTTTCCATTTTAAACATGTTTTAAGTTTCACGTTCTGAAAAGAAGTCTACACATATTAAAACCAAAACATAAAATATAAGCCCGCCCACCCGCCCTATCTCGATTGTGATGATTTTTTTTATTCACCGTTAAGCAGGGGGGCGGAGCTTAGCTGCAAAATACCTATTTCTTTGCAAGAAATTAAAAATCTGTTTTTGAGTATCGCGTTGTTCAAAGAATACTATGCAATTAACTGAAAAAACCGGTTAAAATAAAAAAAACATAAAATTTTTAATATCAACATTTGCAAGAAAATTTTGTCAATTTTTGCATGTACCTACGTATTCTTTTCAAAATTATCAAAATTTTCTCAATTTCTGCAAAAATATAGACATATCTGGGTATTAGCGTTTCAGTTTTGGATATATAAAAGCTCTATTTGTTATTTAAAAATCGATTCGACATACAAAAATGTATCTGGTTTGATATATTATTGTTGTTTTATTAAATACATACAGTTTTCAGTATTATAATTTATGTAGAATGTAATGATAAGTGCGAAATCTTTGTTAAATATTGATGGCAAATTGGTAACGTATCTGGTTGGTAGCAGTGACTTATTTGCTATTTAATTGTTTGTTTTTTTGCATAAAAAAATTAATGAAATCGAAAGAAATATATAAGAAACCTTCATTAACTATTAATTAGAAAAATAAATATTTAGCTAATTTTATAAAAATTATTAAATTTAAAAACAAATAGGTACTCCTAATATTTTTTCAAAAATACCTAATTGTTTCTTTATCGCTAGAAAAATCTGCTGTTTCGGGATCTACAGCTACTCTTTCCTCGGTGAGAAGGTTCCTGTAAAAATCTCGAAACTCGTTGGGTCTTAGCTTATTCAGTATTTCCAAAAGATTCCTTTTTTGCTTCCCGAGCGTAAGCAAAGGAAGTATTGTAATCAAGTCCGTCGGTCGACTCCTCTACTTTTGCATTTTGTCGACTGTCCGTCTGTCCGTTTGTCCGTCTGTCTGCCGTCCCGGATTTTTATTAGACAGATAATCTCCAAAAGTACTGGGCCGATTATTGCCAAATTTTATATTTATATTAGGTATATATTCTAAATAGTCTTACACATGTAGTTTATGCCTCCGAATTGAGATTTTACCCGAAACGTCCAGATTTTCGGAAATAAAATCAAAATTATATAAATTTTGATTTTTAATTTGGAATTTGCAAAACCGAAAGCTTTGAAATCTTGCAGATAGTTTACAGTTATGATAAGCATGATAAGTTTTTATTCAAAATATATTTATTTGTCACCTCCAAAAAATTGATGACGTTACCTGAAAAGTTTGTCGAATAAATCCTACCTAAAATGTAGAAAATATGATGAGTATGTACTTGTAATTTATCATTCAATTCATATTTTTTTGATTTGCATATACAGGGTGGTTAAAAATTAATGAATGCGTGAATATATTTTATTTATTTAATCAGGAACTACAAAACCGAATGCTTTGAAATCTAGGAGATGTTTTACAGTTCTCATAAGCATGGTAAATTTTTAGTCAAAATATATTTCCTGATCCCCCCTAAACAATTGATGACGTCACCCCAAAATTTTGCGGAATAAATCCCATCTTAAATGTGCAAAGGATGATAAGTCTGTACTTGTTGTTTGCTTATACGGGGTGTGTAAAAAAATTAATGACTAAGTCAATTTATTTTATTGATTTAATCAAGAATTGCAAAACTGAATACTTTGAAATCTTGACGTTTTGAAGTTATTGTAAGCATCTTAACTTTTTAATGAAAATGTATCTCTTTATCAACCCCAAAAAATTGATTACGGCATCTCAAAATTTTGCCGAATGTGCAAAATATGAACAGACTTTTAATCATTGCATTCATATTTTTAGATTTGCTTAAACAGGTGAAAAATTCGTCTTTATAACAATAAAAAGGTAAGAACTATAATAATAACATTCAGAATATTTTGTTCAATGCAGGTTTATGAATAATTTTAATAATCTGCGTAAATTCTTAGCCAGAACGCCGTCAATATTTTTTAATTTTTTTTATAATAAGATAGAATTTTATACACTTTCTAGTGGTACAAAAATCTCAATTTCGATAAAAATTGGACTTATGTGGAGGTAGTTTAACTAATCTCCAAGCATTTTTGTTCGATTCTTTGCTGTCCTCCAGATTTGTAACCGCTGTTTGAAAAATTGTGTTTTTAAGATGAGACCTCAAGAAATCATAAGTTGTCAAATCACAGGAACGAGATGGCCAAAGAATTTCTGTATTTCGACTAAGCCGAAGAAATTTCAGTTGTTCATTGTATGTACAATGAATCGAAACTCCATCTTGTTGAAAGAATCCGTTCAGCAATTCATCATCGTGGAACTGGTTGACAAAGGGCTCTAAAATTTCATTTCGATAGCAGCATTTAGTGTACTTAGGTACCTGATAAAAAATGAGAGCGAAAACCCTTCTAGATAATATTTTATGGTTTACGTTGAAAGAATATTGATCCAATGATTTGCCTTTGAGTAATTGCTGCCTACACACCAATTTTTTGAGGCTTAAATACATTTATATATTACAAACCAATTGTAAAATTCTAATCTTCGTGGAAAGTCCACTAGTAAGAGTTCTTGTACTGCTGTGATACGGTAAGGATAGACTTCCAAATGACTTCCAATAACTACATGCGAATATGAGAGATATTTTTCTATCCCAAAGAGAATCAAGCGCTTCCTGAGAACGACTATGACTCAGGAAAGATTAAATGCACTCGCGATGCATCAGTTGAAAAAATAACGCAAACAATAGAAAATTTTGAGAAAGTGTTAAATATTTTTGTAAATAACAAAAGCAGAAGATTCGAGTTTAATAATAAATAAAATTAAAGACTTGTATTTTAATAAACTCTTAAATTATGTGAAAAAATCAGACGTTTCAACATCACAACATCAATGTAAAATTTTGACAGAAAACAAAAACGTATGTGGACAAATACTTTTTAACTTGTAGGTATTGCTTGTTTTACTCATCAATCAATATGTCAAAATCCGCTGGTTTATGCTACAATCTGTGACAAGTTGACGTTGTTTTTAATAGAAATTAAAAATTTTGCAAACAAAAAAATCCCATAACTGGACAGATGGTGCAAACCTAAGATAACAGATTTTTCTAGCTTTATCTTCAGTCACATTCGTCTAACAATCACATAAAGGCATGCCTGACTCGTCTTATCTTCTTTATCTTAACTCTTCTCTTGACAAATCCCTGTCAATTATTTTTATCAGCAAATTGTCGTTTTTCGTACGCCAAACCTGTCCAAGAAACCTTCCCCCCGTCCCATCATAAAAACTCTCCTTCATAATCCCCGAAATCCCTCCGAAAAGCATAAAGCAGATGTATGCAAACAACGAGATTATGAGATAAATCTCATAAAGCAGCCTACTTTACTTTCATAGCTTCGCCGCCCCTACACAATCCGCCAGCCTACGGTAATTCAATTACGCTCTCCCCTCCTCGCTCCCCATTGGCCGGCGTCGCAAGCGCCGCCCCTTTCAGCCCTCGGTCCGCCGAAGCGCCGGACCTAGCCCCAGTGCCGCTGCAACCGCTGTCGAGTGAGGTTATACCGGACCGTGCCCAGTTCTTACGTAGGTTATGCACTCCATGAACGACCCCACGTCCGCCCTGGCCGGGATGCTGCCCTTCGACTCCATCGGCCTGTACGAGCAGCCTAAGCCTAGGTTCATCTTCAAGATGCCCCGGGTGGTGCCGGACCAGAAGAGCAAGTTCGAGTCCGACGAGCTGTTCCGGAGGCTCAGCAGGGAGAGTGAGGTCAGTTTTTCGAGGGAAAAGGGAAAAAACCAAGGCGACGGCCTTTCACCAGGTTTGGCAAAAAACGCACCAAGCAGTTGCGTAAGAGACCTTCGGTTCGCGAATGGATTGAAAATGCGTTTGGGGTTTTTTTGCATGAGATTAGTTGGTTGGTCGCTTTCTAGTACTAATATTTGTGGGTTGGTGGTGTGGAAGTGCGATGAAGTGATTTGGTCGGTTTTGGTTACAAATTGTGGTTGCTGGTTGGTCTAGGTGGCAAAAATTTTGCGACAGGAGTTTCGACAGGTTTCATTGATGAATTTGTTTTGGCTATGACTTTCATAAACCGTTAAGCGCCACTTGACCTTTTTTCTTCTTCGTTTTAATTTCGGAGATTACTTTCCGATTCAAAGTTGAAGCTTTCCTTCATGGTTGTCAATTTTGTGCCGAAACGAGATTAGTTACTTGGATGAACTGGTTTACTTTCTATTACGATTTGTTGCGTCTGTTGTTTGTGGAAGTGTATCTAATAAAAGAACAAGTGCGTGATTAATTCGATCAAATTTTATAAAGCGAGAAAGTGAGGAAACACTACACCTTTTGGAAGCAAAAAAGTGGGCTGGTGTCGAAAATTTGGCCAGAGGTTTTTACAAAGTTTTGCTCCCAAGTAAGGTAGTTTACTTGATTTGTGCTAATTTGGAACGGAGAAAAAAATATGGAACGAAATTTGTTTTTTGGGCTATAAAAATTAATATTTACTCACATTTAGATTATATATGGAGTAGAACGTGATGACGGTTTTGTTTTTGTACGTAATGATAGTCATTAAGATGTCTTGTCTCTCGAAATTCGTTACCTAATACTGGCTCCATTGTGGTCACTACCAATTTTATACCTAATGTTGATTTATTAGCACTGATTCTTTCTTTTTTTAGTAAATATTAATGTTTGCCTCATAAGTTATTAGTTATTACTTAGAATTATTAGTTTGTATTACATACAGTGTGTTCAAAAATTGTTGAGAAGTTCGTCAGCGAATTTTCATTTCAGTCTGTTCTTGAGAACGATTATTATAATTTATAATGTTTTCTGCTAACAAAACATCCGTCTGTTTAAATTCCCAGAAAATTTTATCACTGATATTTTCCCACTACTGAGAGAAGCAGGATTTCCAGCAGTCAGTGATTCAAATGTCGAAATTTTATTGTAATTATATCATCAGCCAGATTATTGTTGAAGTTTTAGTAATGAGAGTTTTAGATTTTTAAATTAATTAATATAACACTTATTTAATTTTTCTGTATCACTAATCTAAACCTGACCACTAAAAAAAGTTTTAAGTTTAAAAAGGTCGAAATTCATTACTCATAATTTCAAATTTTCCAATTGAATGAGTCTAAGCAGATTCGTTCTTTGCAAATTAGACTTCTAAAAAACAAAATTACCTACTAAAAATATCAATGTAAATATTGAAAATTTCGAGTTTTAGTGGCCCGATGTTTCGAAATTCCGAAGATTCAAAGTTCAGAAACAGAATTTCCACGTTCTTTAGTTTAACGATTTTTGTATTTTATCGTTACGAAATACCAAAATTCTAGAGCTCTCGTAACCAAAGTTATAATCGTCCTTGTAAATATTCAAAATTTCGAGTTTCAGGACTCGATAATTTTCGAAATTCAAAAGATTCGTTGTAAAAATTCTGAAAATTTGAATGTACGAAGTTCCCAGATTGTTTGAATCCAGATTCGGTTGGCAAAATCCCGCGTTTCCTAAGTTTAAGACTCGAAAGATTCAAAAAATTCGAAAAAGTTCAAATAATAGGTTTGAAAAATTCGAAATTCAATTTTCATAAGTTGAAATTTTCGAATTTATTGAATTCAAAGTTGTCTCTACAAAATTTATTCTTCAGAACTTAAACTTCCAAAATTCAAAATTTCCGTAACCTAAGTTATACCTAATCATCCCTGTAAATATACAAAATTTCGAGTTTCAATCACTCAATAATTTTCGAAATTGAGAAGATTCTAAGTTCTAAAACAGAATTTACACGGTTTCATCAGAATCAGTGTTTGAATCGGGTTCTCAAATTTTCGGATATTATGATTTCGTAATTGCAAAATTCCGGACTTTTCGGATTTCGAGGTTTCATAATTTCGAAATTCCGGGATTTAAAAATTTTGAATATTTGAATGTACGAAGTTCCCAATTGTTTGATTTAGGATTTGCTTGCCAAAATTCCGAATTTCCAAAGTCTAAAACTTGGACGTTTAAAGAGAGTCACAAATTTGAAATAACAATAAGTTTAAAAAATTCGAAATTCAATTTTCAAAAATTGAATTTCGATATTCGATAATTTTCGAAATTCAGAAGATTCTAAGTTTAGAAACCGAATTTTCACATTTGAGGTTTCATCAGAATCTGCATTTGAATAGGCATCTAAAATGTTCGTATTTTATGATTTCGTAATTGCAAAATTAAGGACTTTTCGAGATTTCGAGGTTTCATAATTTCGAAATTCCGGGATTTAAAAATCCTGAAAATTTGAATGTACGAAGTTCCCAGTCGTTTGATTTACCATTTGCTTCCAAAATTCCGATTTTCCAAAGTCTAAAACTCGGGTGTTTCAAAAAATTCACAAAATTTTAAATAACAATAAGTTTAAAAAATTCAAAATTTAATTTTCAAAGGTTGAAATTTTTCGATTTATTGAATTCAAAGTTGTCTACAAAATTTATCCTTCATAATAAACTTTCAACATTCAAAATTTCCGTAACCTAAGTTATCATCCCTGTAAATATTCAAAATTTCGAGTTTCAGTGACTCTATAATTTTCGAAATTCCGAAGATTTTAAGTTCAGAAACAGAATTTACACGTTTAAAGTTTTATCAGAATCTGTATTTGATTCGGGTTCTCAAATTTTCGGATTTTATTATTTCCTAATTGCAAAATTCCGGAGTTTTCGGCTTTCGAGGTTTCATAGTTTCGAAATTCCGGGATTTAAAAATTTTGAAAATTTCACTTCCCAGTTGTTTGATTTAAGATTTGCTAGCCAAAATTCCGATTTTCCAAAGTCTAAAACTTGGGAGTTCAAGAAAACACAAAATTTGAAATAATAATAAGTTTAAAATATTCGAAATTCTATTTTCCAAAGTTGAAATTTTTCGGTTTATCGAATTCAAAGTTGAATAGAAAATGTATTCCTCATAATTTCAACTTTCACAATTCAAAATTTCCGTATCCTAAGTTATCATCCCTGTAAATATTCAAAATTTCGAGTTTCAGTGATTCGATAATTTTCGAAATTCAGAAGATCCTAAGTTCAGAAACAAAATTTACACGTTTAAAGTTTCATCAGAATCTGTATTTGATTCGGGTTCTCAAATTTTCGGATTTTATGATTTCCTAGTTACAAAATTTCGGAGTTTTCGGATTTCGAGATTTCATAATTTCGAAATTTCGAAGATCCCAGTTGTTTGATTTAAGATTTACTTGGCAAAATTGAGATTTTCCGAAGTTTAAAACTTGAGAGTTTCAAGAAATTGACAAAATGTGAAATAATAATAAGTTTAAAAAATTCGAAATTCAGTTTTCAAAAGTTGAAATTTTCCAATTTATTGAATTCAAAATTGTCTCTACAAAATGTATTCTTCATTACTTAATATTTCAAAATTAAAAATTTCCCTAACCTATCGCTGTAAATATACAAAATTTTGACTTTCAGGGACTCGATAATTGTCGAAATTCAGAAGATTCGAAATACAGAAACAGAATTTCCATTTAAGGTTCCATTAGAATCTGAATTTGAATCGGGTTCTTAAATTTAGTAATTTATGTTTTCGTAATTTCAAAATTCCGGGGTTTAATAGTTTTGAAAAATTTGAATGTTAGAAGTGCCCAGATTGTTTCAAAATTTCGACTCTCCAAAGTTTAAAACTTGGAAATTTCAGGAAACTTGCAAAATTTGAAGTAATAGTTAATCTGAAAAATTCGAAATTCAATTTTCAAAAGTTGAAATTTTCCAATTTATTGAATTCAGAATCATCCCTACAAAATTTATTCTTCATAATTCAACTTTCAAAATTCAAAATTTCCGTAACCTAAGTTATAATCTTTCCTGTAAATATTCAAAATTTCGAGTTTCCGTGACTCCATAATTTTGGAAGTTCTGAAACAGAATTTCCACATTTAAGAAGGTTTCATCAGAATCTGCATTTAATTCGGGTTCTTAAATTTTCCTATTTTATGAATTCGTAATTACAAAATTCCGGATTTTTCGGATTTCGAGGTTTCATAATTTCGAAATTCCGGGATTTAAAAATTTTGAAAATTTGAATGTACGAAGTTCCTAGTTTGCCAAAATTCCGATTTTCCAAAATCTAAAACTTGGGAGTTTATTTTCCTAGAGAGTAGGTCCTTTGCCAAAATCAGTCTGATCATCTTAAATACTAGCCCCGCCCACCCGCCCTTTAATTTTTTAAAAAGTAAATCCTTTTCCAAAATCAGTTTTATCATAGCAAGTACCTACTAGTCCCGCCCACCCGCCCTTTATTTTCTTAGAGAATAAGTCCTTTTCTAAAATCAGTCTTGTCTTGGCAAGTACATTACTTAAATTTTTAAAATTCAAAATTTCCGTAAGTTATAATAATCGCTACAAATTTTCAAAATTTCGAGTTTCAGGGACTCGATAATTTGAAGTTCAGAAACAGAATTTATGATTTCGTAATTGCAAAATTCCGGACTTTTCGGATTTCGAGGTTTTATAATTTCGAAATTCCGGGATTTAAAAGTTTTGAAAATTGGAAAATTTAGAACTTGGAAATTTCCAGAAACCACAAAATTTCAAGTAATATAAGTTTAAAAATTCTCCACTTTATTGAGTTCCAAGTTTTCTCTAAAAGATTTATTTTTTGTAAATTAAAGTTTCAAAAACCAAAATTATAATTATCTGCGCAAATATTCAAAATTTCGAATTACAGTAACTCGATATTTGGAAATTCAAGAGATTTGAAAATTTAAATATTTAAATTATAACCGCCAAAACTGGAACTGAAAATTCTACCACTATTAAATAAATGAAAACAAAAGGTTAAAGTTGACATTTTCGGTCCACTTTTCCCGGAATTCCATTCGATTAAAGATGCTATAATTTCATGATGCGTATGCATGACTAACATGTTGGATTTTTAGTTTCTTCATTTCTGTGACTGATGAAAGCGGTGACGTGTGTGCGGAGTTAGGATTTAACCTTAGTCTGTTTCATTAATTAAACGCATTCAGAAAATCCTTGGGGAAATGTTCCCCGAATTTTGCGCTACAAAAATTTTGGAACTTTATAGTTCAAGGTAAATCCAAACTACAACTATTACACTCTGTAGAACTGTCAAAAAAATGTCACCGACGTCCTTCTGAAAGCATGTCCTGTGTAAGATTTTGGATCCTGGAGTTTTAAATATTCGGCGACTTTTTTGGCAGACAAACTACTGTCTAAATAAAGGAAGAACCAGTTTGTGGTAATAAATGTACATTTGACACAAAATTGCTGGTTACAAGAGCATTAGGTACTAAATTGTACGAGATACGACATCTTACAAAAACCCGACTTCTAATACCTGTTATTATTATCAAAACAAGACCACCATCAACGTCCCTGTCCATATACAAGCATAATCTAAATGTGAACACGTCCTAATGTTTTATTTCCGCAAACCAAATCTTTTGCTACCTGAACAAACACATTAAAAGTAGATGTGTGTGTTTTCAGGTATCCAGCAGACTTTTTCTGTAAATTTAAAATTAATTCACTACGTTAGACAAATTATTTGAATTTTATTTAAAACCCCAGAAAATATAT